TTTATGCACGATTGGGCGGTAAATTCAACTTACCGCCCGCATTTGCAGGCGGTGAGTTGAACTTACCGCACGTCTCTTTTAGGAGATAAATCACCTAAAATTATTTATTATATTCATCCAACAACTACCTACATATCCTATTCACAATCCGTAGTCCAAAGGTGGAGGTAAATTTATCACCTTTTCCTATGAAATAGCACTGAAAGGTGATAAATTTTACCTTTACCTTTGGACATCGGATTGTGAATAGATAATATATTAGAGACTTCTCGTGCCGTCCAAATTTCAAATACCGTAACGCTATTTGACAAATATGACAGTTCTTACGGTATTAGCGTTAGCGGTGCCCGCTATCTAACGGAACTTACCGGATGCGTTACCGTAACGCTATGCTATGTTAAAAGTAGTTAACGCTTAATTTGTGTCTGCAAAACAGCAACTTCTAATAATTCCTCCATAAAAACACCAAGGAAAAATTAATCAAGCTCAGGAATCTTCAGAATAAATAAAAGTTAGAAAAAGTAGGGTTAGATTACTCAACTCAGCTGTCAAACTGTAAACAGAATATAAAGCTGGATTTATAGTGTCAGTAGCAGTAACAGTAACAGTAACTTAAAACTTAAGAACAGATATGAAATTATCCATTTCTTAAGTTTTACTGATAAGTTTGTTAAGTGAACTATAAATGGCTTTACGGTAGGCCGTGTTTTAATATTTTACTGTTACTGCTACTGTTACTGATACTGACACTATAAATCCAGCTTATAAGGGATTAGAGGATTTATGTGTTTTTGTGCCCAAGAACTATAAAATACCATGTGAAATGCGGAAATGCCGTATTTTTAGCGGTACCGTATTAGCGTAACGTCTGACGCACGAGAACTTTCTATTATTACCAAAATCGATGTGGATAACCATGAAAAATACAAAAGTTGTTGCTTTCTGGAAGATTACAGCAATTACAGAAGTTGCCAATTTTTCAATGAAAACGCGCCTTTATATAAATTGGAAGACTGTTTATTTTTGAAAACAATGTCAAATGGATGCCATTATATAGGTATAGTTATTTTATTTTTGAACTGAAAGAGTCCGATGTGCATAAAACGTAATAAGTATTTTCTAGTATTTGAGTTATGTCATGAAACTCATAACACAATACAACTAGTGGTGTTATACGCTATACGCTAGGTTATGAATTCATAACACAACTACAGTCTATTTTTTCCCAAGATAGATTTTGACATTGAAAACTTTGAAACATAAACAATAACGCTTGGCCCTGATTGGTCGCAATATGCCGTGTCTTTGCAGGTTGGAATCAGTTTTACAATGCATGTCGTGCAAATGACATCTTACAACCAATAAGCGGCATTGTTTATGTTTCAAAGTTGACAGTGTCAAAATCTATCTTGGGAAAAAATAGAGTGTAGTGGTGTTATGGACTAGGTTATAAATCTATAACACAACTATTGTTGGTTATTTGACAAACGTCAAAGTTAAACCTGTAAAGGTAGAATGAAGGTAGACAACGAGGTAGACAACTACTAATAAATGAAAATAATTGACAAAACATTCCTATTTTTCGCTTTGTAGATAAAACGTTGCACAGGGTATTTGATTATATTTGGACCCGTACCTACAGCCTTTACTATTTAGGATAGAAAAAAAAATCTACAACTGTCAAAAAAAAGATGATGTTTGCACACTGATGACAATTTGCGAAGTGACACTTTTTTTTATCAGGTAAGGATTTTTTAACGTTTCCATGACGCCGTGCGCGAAATGCTTCTCCAGTGTGCGAAATGCCTAGTTCGCACACTCAGGTAACAAATACCTGATACCTGACAGGAAACCAAAAATCATTAAAATTCACCTGCCTTTGATTGTAAATGCAATTTCAGCTTCGAATGATCAATATTTGAATGGAGTTGTAGAAAAAATATTGTTTGCAACTCGTGCGCGCAATACTTTGGTAATCTCGACAATTTTTTCTCTATCGGTTCTCGATCACCAAAGTAGCATTTGAATTTAAAACTTGACAGTTTTTTTCTATATTTTAACGTTATCAAAAAAAAAACAAAATCGCATGGGAAAATGGAAAAACGTAGACAACTTCGACTTTTTTTAACGGAACACCCTGTATATTTTGCGATAAAATGAAAGATTTTTTTTGAGTAAGCTGTTTTTGACATATTTTAGCTTAAATTATAAATAATTTGCGAAGAAATTTCATAAGGATGTCAAAAGACATTTAAATCTTCATAAAATTTCTTTGGATTTTGTTTATAATTTAAGCTAAGATATATCAAAAAAGGCCTCACCCAAATGTGATCAATAGGTATATTTAGAATTAGGAAGAAAAGATCTTTCATTCTATCGCATAATATACAGGGTGTTCCATCAAAAAAAGTCGAAGTTACCTACGTTTCTCCATTTTCCGATGCGATTTTATTTTTTCTGATACCGTTAAAAGAAAATATAGGAAAAAAAGTGTCAAGTTTTGTATTTAAAATTTTTTTCTATCTTAAATAGTACAGAGTACAGGCTGTAGGTATGGGTCCAAATAATCAAATACATGATTACAAAACTCGTAGGATTAGAACGACTCGGTCTACGACCTCGTCGTCCTAATCTTTCCCACACGTTATTATAATCATGTTCATAAACGCACTTGTAATGTAAATAACTATTATACACACCTGTAGTCAATTATGTTGTTTCTGATAAATAAGTGTCATATACAGAGTGAGTTACTAAGCGCGAGGTGGTCCATATCTCCTATACTAACGGAGATCGGAGAAAAAACTAAATACAAAACTTGTAGATCAACATGAGTACGACAATCCTAAATTATTTTCCAGTATACAGGGTGGCCCAATTAGTAGTGGTGATACAGAGTTATGATTTTTTGAATGACTCCCCCTGTATGTTACGACATTTCTGGATTCTGTGGAAAATTCTAGACATATTGCATGTACAATGTCATATACCTATCTTCAACTGTTTCGGAAATATTGACAGTTTAAAATTGACTTTCTTCCATTTTTGACAGACTGTAAAACCTAAACGGTTTATTTTATAGCAAAACCGATTTTACATTCCTATCCTAGATCTTTATAAGCTATCATCTGACACCAACTTTGAATTTAACCGGAGATTAATAATTTAGGCGGAATTTTTAATCATGGATTAAATTCAAAGATGGTGTCAAAGGATAGTTTATGAAAAACTAAGATAAGAATGTATGATCGGTTTTGCTGTAAAATTAACTGTTCAGGTTTTACAGTCTATCAAAGGTGTGAAAAATTCAATTTTCAACTGTCAATACTTCGGAAACAGTTGAAGATAGGTATTTGACATTGTGCATCAAATATGTCTAGAATTTTCCGCAGAATCCAAAAATATCATAATATACAGAGAAAGCCATTTTAAAAAACATAACTTTGTGTCACCACTACTTATTGGGTCACCTGTATACAGGAAAATAATTTAGGAATGTAGTACTCATGTTTATCCACAAGTTTTGTATTTAGTTTTTTCTTCTATCTCCGTTAGTACCTATAGGAGATATGAACCACTGCGCGCTTAGTAACTCACTCTCTATTTTATATTATGTACATCATGTACTTTTTTTCCTTTTGTCTTTAAATAATTTTTTAGTGTCTATTCTTTGCAAGTAATTACGTTTTTTATAGAGTAGTTGTTCATATCCCATTAATAAAGGTTCTAATCCTTTTCTTTTTAATTTGATAATTTAAATAAATAAATAATGCTAAAGAAAACCAACTTTGGTTTGCCCTTCAAAACAATGATTCCCGACAAAGAGCTATGGGCCAGTGACAGGACCGAGCTACTGCGGGCAGATCTCTGCCTGTACACAGACGGCTCCAAAACTAAACATGGTGTCGGAGCAGGGGTATATGGTGGAAAACCAAGGCTAGGAATTTCGGTCAGCCTTAGCAAAAACGCATCCATATATCAGGCCGAATCGCTGGTCATCAAGCTTGGCGCGAAAAAGCTGCTGGAAAAGCGAAAAAAGCACAAGTCGATAAAAATATTTTCTGTAGCCAAGCTGCGCTGAAAGCACATTGCACATCGAAATCAGTATGGAACTGCAAACAAGCCCTGACCCAGCTAGGGGAGAAGAACAACGTTTCACTAGTCTGAATACCGGGACATACTGGACAAGAAGGCAACGAAAAAGCGGACCAACTTGGAAAAGCTGGATCCTAGCTTAACTTTATCAGACCGGAGCCAGTACTGGGAATAGCCCTGAATACGGCTAACTTCACAATCTCGACCTGGGCCAATACAGAAGCCAAACAATATTGGTCGAGACTACCAGGCAAGAATCATGCAAAATCCTGTGTACCCTGTCCAAAAGGGGGGTAAGTGGCAGACATACTTCTGGGAATGGGGATGAAGAGCCTCAAAGCACTGGTGGGTCTGTCAACAGCACACCGCAGACTCATGCACAAAATCGGAATAGCATGAAGTGCCGAGTGTCGCCTATGAATGGAAGAAGACGAAACTGCAGAACATGTCCTGTGGACTTGTCCGGCAATAGCCAGAATCAGGGATGCTGTTTTCGGGGAGTCAGAATCAGAATCAGAATATCTTTATTTTAAAGAAACATACAAAAGAGATTATAAAAAAGCATCAATTGTTGTTTAACTAAATAGTGTCAGCTGTTCGACCCGAATAAATAAAGCATGCTTCCCCCCCACTTATCTCCACCTTCATAAGAAGGGCCGGACTGATGGGGGAAATATAAACTCGGAATGAGCCACAATAGACTGCAGGTCACAGTCAAAGGTCCTTCATCGGACCACTCACAAGAAACCTAAACATAAACCTAACCTAGCCAATCTTATGCAATAAAAAATTTGTTAATTTTCGACTAAAAACTCTCTTAGCGTTGGGCCAATTGAATCCCATTGGTTTTGGCTTTGGCAACTCTAAGATAAAATTTGCTCTTCTGATGAATAATTCACACTTACCAGTTCTTGGTCACCTTCCCTCCAAGCCAAATTATTATGTTCCTTATATTTATGATAAGTCCATTCATTTTTAGAAAGTTCCTTCTTACATACAGCACAAATTACCATCCCATTGGCCTTGACAATTTCATTGCACTTTTCCAAATGGAGCATAAACTCTTTGCTCTTTGCACATTTTTTCTTGCATTTTTTGCACTTTAAAAAGCCCTGCTCTTTGCGCAATTGTTCATAAACATTCATTATGGCAGAGTTATCAGATACGTTTATAGCTGTCTCTCCCTTTTTCCAAGCCAAATTATAATGCACTTTTCGTTTATGGTCTGCCCAATCTTGGTTAGTCACAGTTTCGCTGCATACTGCGCAAGTTACCGTTCCTTCCTCGTCAGAAAAGTCATCTCTAAAACAAAATGCATTTGGATTCATTAAATGAATAATCTAAAATCCGAAACTTACTTGATGACACGTCTACCTCGTTTTCTGCTATTGCTTTCATCAATGCTAGAAAAAGATACATATTTATTTCAATGTACAACTGCCACAAATATCCTTACCTAACATCATCTGCGTTTTTCCCTTCAAATGAAGAGAAAATTTGTTTAAGTGCCAAAGTAGTATTGCCTGAATATTTGTATTTAGAAACTTTTTTACTAGGTTTTGTGACAGTTGGTGAACTATTAGTGGACTTAGGTTCACAATCTTCTAATAAGGAATAATCAATCTCTTTTCGTTGTCTGCCTTTTTTGGATTTTGTAAAAATTATTTCTTCTTTAGATTCTACTGGAACAACTACAGGAACGTCACTTTTTTTAGGTCTTCCGCGTTTTTTTTTTGGCGCATCACTAACTGATTCATTTACCAATGAATCAGGTTGTTTTATTGAATTACTATCAATTGTTATATTAGTCTTTTCAGACGTACTACATGTTTCAATTTTGCCATCACTATTTTTCAATATTTTAGATAATGGAATGTCTGAGTCACTATCTGAACTAGCAATATGTTTATTGATTTGTCTTTTTCTTCCATTGGAATTGTCTTGTTTAGTACCATTCAGTTTGGGTCTTCCAGGTTTTCTCTTTTGTATTGCCATTTTATCACTGACAAGCTTCTTTTGACTGTCTGTATTTGTAATGAAATCGTTCAATGAAGTTTGCGTTAAAACTTTAATCGGAATATCATCATTTTCGTCATTACTAGAATTATTCATAATTAAAGAGTTCGATTCCCTTTCCATTTCAACTGAAAATAATAAATGTGTTAAAAAAACTGATGCTGCTGGAAGGTAACAGATTTTTTCAACACAATCTTACTTGACATTGTGGTCTTTAGCCACTTTGGAAATATTTAGTGTCAGTTTCTTCATCAACAAGTGAAGTTTGAATCTGTTTATTCCTGAGTATCAATAAACTAGCTCACCACAGGAAAATGAGCATTAAAAAGTTTAAAAAATCTGTTACCATAATATAAAAAACAAATATCGCCTTTTACTAATATGTTACCTATAATGTGGTATATTCTCATTCTTCTTGTGTTATTTTGCATATCTCATTGACACCCACTGCCAAATAGTATGGCAACCCTTTACTTTGTTTATTATTAAACACCTCTTCTGCCACTTGCATTTTGGATTCTAAGCCAACAATTCTGACTATACTTTTGATTTTTTCTGCATCTATGAGACCCTTTTACTTGTATTTATGGATAATCATCTTCAGTTTCTTCTAGTTATTTTTCTATGTAGACATTGTTTTTTAAAGTTCTCCAAGCAATCAGAACTATATGGACTTCCCAACCCATTTTTATTGGTTTGCTATTACTTACATACTTCTTTTTGTAGATTTTTATTGACCTTGTTTGATTTTTTCCTTTTGCATTTGTCTTTTCGAATTAGAGATATCAATTTTTTCAGGAATTTCTATCAAATGTTGCGTTACAACTACAGGAACGACACTTTTTTTAGGTCTTCCACGTTTTCTTTTTGGCGCCTCACTAATTGATTGATTTATCGACGAATCAGGCTCTTTCATTGAATTACTATCAATTGTTACATTAGTCTTTTTAGATTTACGATATGTTTCAGTTTTGCCACCACTATTTTTCAATAACTTAGATAATGGAACGTCCGAATCACTATCTGAACTAATGATATAATCAATTTGCCTTTTTCTTCCATCAGATTTATTCAAGCTATTAGCCTTTTTCTGTTTAGCACCATTCAGTTTGAATCTTCCAGGCAATTTTTCTTTTATCTTCAATTTGGGTAGTTCAAGTATGGGATTATTTTTTGATTTTTTTCGTTCTCTTTTAAAAGGTTCAGATGTTTTAATTTTTACTTTCGCTAGTTTCGCTATGCTTCTCTTTAAATTCCAATATTTCAGTTTGGAACTATTTATAATTGGGATAGGAGTCTCCTCAACCAAGCACGTATCTGGGTAAATATTTACAGTAGTTGGTTCTTTAGATTCTTTATAGTCTATGTCTACCTTATTGCTTTCTTCGTTTTCAACAGTTTCATCAATATTATCATTAGGATTAATATCAACATATTCATCAAAAATATTTAGATCTTCTTCAATAACTTTACTATTTTTATCCAGAAATTCATCAATCATATTAATTTCGACTCTTTCGTCTGATAATTGTTCAACATTGTTGATATCTGACATTTTACTTAAATCTTCTTCTTTTTCTAAAGACGATTCGCTAAATTTGGACTTGACTACCTTATTGCTTTCATCATTTTCTAATGTATCGTCAAGATATTCATCAATATTTGGATCTTCCTCAATAATTTCAATATTTATATTTAGCAATGTTTCCAGTATATTATAATCGACTTTTCCACCCAATATTTGAGCAATATCATGGATATCTGAGCTTTTACTTGAATTTTCTTCTTTTTCGAACTCTGACTCGTTAAATTTGGGCTTGAAGAAATGTCCATTATTGGTTTCAAATTGAAAATTATATTTTGACAATGGATCTTGCTCATTCTGAGAACAATCATTAATATTGTGATTTATATTGTTTTCTTCAGCTCTTTCAGGTAAACCTTCACAATTTTTTGTAACAAGATTTTCTAGTTTTTCCTGGAAGTCTGCTATTAATTTTTTACAATAAATATTAGAATTTTCCTCATCAAAAATATCATGTGATGTATTGCTTTCTGTATTTGTTTCAGGAGGAAATTCATCAAACAATTCCGAATTAGCATTAGAATGTTTTACTGCAAATGTGTCAAGCATTTCCATATTTTCTTCCACATTGATTACTGATGGAGCCTCAATTTTTTCTGGATCTTCTAAATCACTTATAGTTGATATATGAGTTTTTCTAGGCCTACCAGAAGTGTTTTCGAAAATATCAATATCTTCTTCCATTTTGATTTCAGAAGTTTCACCTAGAAACTCATCAAATAACTTCAAGTCAATATCAGAATTTTCTACTGGAAATGCGTCAAATATTTCCATATTTTGTTCCACATTTATTATTGATGGAACATCGATTCTTTCAGGCTTTCTTGAATCACTTTTTTCTGAAAATCTGTCAGATATGTCTCTTTTCTCTTCCACATTTATTATTGATGGATCATCAATTTTTTCGGGCTCTCTTAAATCACTTATAGTTGATGCATGAGTTTTTTGAGGCCTACCAGAGGTGTCATTAGAAATGTCCATATTATCTTCTTCCTTGTTGATTCCAGAAGTTTCACCTAGAAATTCATCAAACAATTCCAAATCAATATCAGAATTTTTTACTGGAAATGTGTCAAATATTTCCATATTTTCTTCCACATTCATTATTGATGGAACATCGATTTTTTCGGGCTCTTTAAAATCACTTGAAGTTGATGCACGAGTTTTTTGAGGCCTACCATAAGTGTCATTAGAAATGTCTATATTATCTTCTTCCTTGTTGATATCAGAGGTTTCACCTAGAAATTCATCAAACAATTCCAAATCGATATCAGAACTTTTTACTGGAAATGCGTCAAATATTTCCATATTTTCTTCCACATTTATTATTGATGGAACATCCATTCTTTCTGGCTTTCTTGAATCACTTATTATTTTTACAACAGGGTTTTTTTCTGGAAATCCGTCAGATATTTCCAAACTTTCTCGCACATTTATTATTGATGGAACATCGATTTTTTCGGGGTGTCTTAAATCACTTATAGTTGATGCATGAGTTTTTTGAGGCGTATCAGAAGTGTCATTAGAAATGTCCAAATTGTCTTCTTCCTTGTTGATTTCAGAAATTTCACCTTGAAATTCATCAAACAATTCCAAATCAATATCAGAATTTTTCATTGGAAATGCGTTAAATATTTCCATATTTTCTTCCACATTTATTATTGATGGAACATCGATTCTTTCTGGCTTTTTTGAACCACTTATTAATTTTACATCAGGATTTTTTTGTGGAAGTGCATTATAGATTTTCATATTTTCTACATTTATTATTGATGGATCATTAATTTTTGTTGGCTCTCTTAAATCACTTATAGTTGATGCATGAGTTTTTTGAAGCCTATCAGAAGTGTCATTAGAAATGTCCATATTATCTTCTTCCTTGTTGATTTCAGAGGTTTCACCTAGAAATTCATCAAACAATTCCAAATCAATATTAGAATTTTTTACTGGAAATGCGTCAAATATTTCCATACTTTCTTCCACATTTATTATTGATGGAACATCGATTCTTTCTGGCTTTCTTGAATAACTCATTGATTTTACATCAGGATTTTTTTCTGGAAATCCGTCAGATATTTCCAAATTTTCTTCTTCATCTATTATTGATGGAACACCGTTTCCTTCTGGCTCTTCTAAATCACTTATAGTTGATGCATGAATTTTTCTAGGTATAGTAGAAGTGTTATCAAAATTTTCCTTGTCGATTTCACAAGTTTCATCTAGAAATTCATCAAACATTTTAATATCTGCCTCCATGTCAGATTCGGAATATCCAGCAAAAGATATATCATTGTCATCTTTTTCAAAAATATCTAAACATTTATTCTGGTAATTTTTTTTCAAAGATGCTTTGTTCACTTTTGCAGTACATTGCTGCTCATACACAAGTTTTCCAGTTTCTAAAATTTTATTCAAATTGGATCGAATGGAAGAATATTCTTCTGCAGTATTATGCTTTTCTTGTGGTTCAAATTTACCATTGCAATTATTGCTTGTTTTTTTTATACCAATTGTCGACTTTGCTGAGCCAGATTGTGCAGTGCAAGCACTATTTTTGTTCAAATCCTTCAAAACCAAAGCTTCAGCTTCCAAAATTTTAGTCGAATTTAACTGATTTGAAGAATGATTTTCTCCAGCTTTCTGTGGTTTTTGTTTTTCAAATTTATCATTGCCCTCAACATTTAATGCTGAATTATTGATCTCATCAGTCGCATCTTTAATTTTCAAATTTGCTGAATTACATTGTGGGTCAAAGGTGCAGTTCTTTGTGGAATTCTTAATTACTGTTGGACAAGTTGTGCAGTCAACCTTTTTTTTATCAAGCAGGCTACGTAATTCATTTTTAGTAATCTGAACTTTGATGTTGCTTAATATTCGAATTTTGGAATTTCTCTTAGTATTGTTGTTTTTGAAAGATTTTTTCATGTTCTCTTCAGATTCTTTGTAAAACAATTTTTCAGGTTCCAAAATTTTAGTTGGTGTCGATACATTGTTATCAAGCAAAATACATGACTCATCTGTGGAAATCTGAGCTCTCATATTGCCTAATATTTTATTGGAAGATTTACCTTTTGAATAAATGCCGTAGGTTTTTTGATCTTGCGATGTGGTCGCTGGTGTTTCGATAGCGTGTGCCACTGCAATGAAGTGGTAGTATTAATAAAAATTAAATAAGTCTAAAAATTGATACTCACCATTATCATTTTTCGGATGTGCATTTGCAGTAGGTGCCAAAGAGTCTAATTCAACACCAAGCTTGGCTAATTCTCCGGGGGATAAAGTCATACATTTTGTAGTAACATTCATATTGTCCATGTTCTAAAATATTTAAGGGACAAGATAAGTGTACCAAAAATACAGTTCATTCTCAAATGAATGTAATTGAGGCGTCTGATGTTATATGTACGGGTGGGCCAATTTGGACACTTTCTTATGGAAACACCCTTTATTTTTAGAGATAGAAAAAAATGAACCCCCCACTCTGAGGCTCAAATTTCATGAAATTTTGATTGGTGCAAACCGCATTTTGATATCTTCAACCGTTTAGCCGCTAGAGGGCGATTCTCGATTTTGAGCAATACTGTGAAACCTTCATAACTTTTTTATTTATGAAAATAATTCATTTCTGTAAAGACTTTCTGGAAGCACCTTTTTAAGTGGAATTCAGTGACGTTCTCAGATTTTTTCTATTTAGCTCCGATTCCGAGATATTGACCAAAATCCGATTTTTTTCAATAGGACATTGTTTCGTCTTTATTCTAAATAAATTTTATACAATTTGGCAAAGGTGCAAAATTCCTGTTTGCTCGCATTTTTTTGTTTTGTTTCGCGCAAAAAAAAAGTCGTACCTCTAGATTTTGATAGTGGACGTACCAGAAGCGAGTAATTGGACAGAATTGCTAAGAAACTCGATGAGACGACACGGGCGCGTCGTCGTACGGCTTAACCCGGTCGCAATATTTTCTAATCTCAAAACTTCATTGTGAAGTCCTCTCGTATCAACCTTCTACAAAGTTACATAACCCGTAATTGGGAACACCATAATCCGCAGCGCGTGTGTAAAGCAGGGTCCCTGCAGGAGTGCACTTATGGAATCATTGGGTAAGTCCTTTTTATCATTATTTAGAGGTTGCGCCGCAAAGTAAATACAGTCCACTACCAGCTAAGACATTACGTATTAGCTACCCGCCAAACATTTTGGTCCTTCGAGCCGGATTTCTTATTTTGTTCTGGTGCTTAAATTGATTAACTGGTTAATTATTGCAATTAATCGATTAATTGAAAGTATTTTATTGGATTTTTTTCATTTTGTTGAAATTCATTCGCGTTATACATCATTCTTAGCAAGAAACTGCAAGTGTTTTAATTATTCTCGGTTTGTGTTTTAGACAAAATAAAACATAAAAGGCATTAATTATTGTAATTTGGCCAGTAGAACGAAAACATTTTTATCAGAAAAGCCATAGAAGTTGTAAATTGAACCTCAAGAGCAGAGCAAAAAAAAAAAAAACTTGTTTATCTGAACATAAACATTCCAAGCTTGAAATTCTTTCTTTTTTTTTGCCTTGCCCAAATGCAAATTCAGGAAAAGAACGGATTTTGCTAGATAGTAGGTACTACTTATTCGATTTAATTTAATTTAAATTTGATTTCAATTTTTTTTTTTTTTTGGCAATATGTCAGAAGATTTAACAATTCTCACTGCCCAACGCAAAATTCTTATCAAACGAATTTCTGAAGTCTACGATATTGCTAATAAAGCGATCGCAGATGAGACAACGCAAGAATATTTTAAGACACGCTATGAGGCTATTCCCTCCTATTATCAAGATTTCGAAAAAATTCACATGACAATAGTTTTTCATAAGGATATGTCTGAGGAAAAATGGGATGGCGAAGAAGAAATTCGAAGCGAAATAGATGAAAAGTATTATACTACGAAGAGTATCTTCAATCAATTCATTAAAAATGAAGCAATCGCTAATGCGAGTGTCAATATGACAATGTCGCAACCGTTAGCTTCACCCACTGCCGCTTTGCATAACTTTGCCCCGACTATGAATGTTAATTTGCCCAAGTTGACCCTACCTGTATTTGAGGGTGACCTTAGGCAATGGCCAACGTTTTTTGATTTGTTTCAAAACCTAATTCATAATAAAGCTGGCTTATCAGATATAGAAAAGGTCCAGTATCTCCTCTCTTTTATTAAGGGGGAACCGCTAAATTTAATCAAAGCTATTCCAATAACGGAAGCAAATTACAAAATTGCCTATACAACCCTGGTGAGTCGCTACCAAAATAAAAGATTACTGGCAACCACCTATTTAACTTAAATATTGAATTTCCCTAAAGTTTCGAATGGGTTTAATTTACGCAATATTTTTGATTCCTTTATGGAAAATTTAGACGCCCTTTCTCTCTTAGGATTTCCAGTTGTACATTGGGATTTTATTCTTCTGAATTTATTACTTAAAAAACTGGACGTTGACACAGTACAACGTTTTGAATTAGCCCATGCACAATTTGATATTCCAACCTTTAATCAGTTGAAGTTATTTCTTACAAATCAATGTAAAGCTTTAGAGACTATGGCTCATTCGAATAATCAAATTTCGCAAACAAAAGGAGCAAATAATAGTCGAGGCGTAAAAGGTGATCCTGGAAAAGTTTATCCTCATGCATTGTTGGCAAATGCAAGTAACGGCAACAGTCAAACTCAAAAGATAGTACCTTCACAAAGATGCAGTGTGTGTAATTTGTCACATTTGGTTTATAATTGCCCTAATTTTCGCAATAACACTCCCAAAGAGAGATTTTCGATTTGCAAGCAAAACAGAATGTGCATCAATTGTCTGAGTTCGGCTCATAACTTACAGAAGTGCAAATCTACCTCGGTTTGTCGCATCTGTCGTTTGCGCCATCATACTTTACTGCATTTTGATTCAGCCAAGAGTCCAAACTCCGCAGATTCACAAACTAATTCATCTAGTTCAGTTCAATCGCCCCCTGATAACCAAATACCCTCATTGTTTAGCCCAAATTCAAGTTCTTCGCCGACTATGAATTCGTGTGTTGGAGCTGTAAATCCAAATTCAGTGGTTCTATTGGCAACCGCGCTAGTTAATGTCTTGGATTCCCAAGGCAACCCGCATTCCGTTAGAGTTTTGCTGGATAGTGCCAGTCAGACAAATTTTATCTCAAAAAGGTGTTTCAACCGCTTAGGTTTGACTTCCTCAAAACTCAATATACCTATTAAAGGTATTGGCGAAATGTCTTCTCTTGTATCACAAGGTGTGACGCTATTCTCGATCGGTCCTCCTATCAACAATAAGTTGTTAGTCAATTTAGAAGCTATTATCCTACCCAAAGTATGTTCTGACATGCCAACCGCATTCTTTAAAACCGATTCTTGGGATCACATCAACAATTTGAAGTTAGCTGATCCATCGTTTAACGCTCCAGGTAGTATCGACATGTTACTGGGAGCTTCAGTTTTTCCTCATATTTGGTTGCCTGGAAAAATCGATGGAGGTGGAAGATCTCCAGTTGCCCTCAACACAATTTTTGGCTGGGTGCTGATGGGAAAAATCAATTTTCAAACTCCAACTCCACTTTATACTTTCTCAGCGCTTGTTGAAAATGATGATCTTACAACAAAGTTGCAACAATTCTGGGAAATTGAAGAAGTTCCTCAAGCTAGCACTCTCTCCTCTGATGACCTCTTGGCCGAAAGTTCGTTTGTGAATACGCACCGTCGCACGTCCCATGGACAGTTTATTGTTTCCCTGCCATTCAAAAATGGTGAACCGCTTCTTTCTGATTCACGTTCCATTGCTTTACGTCGATTCTATAGCCTAGAACGGAGATTACAAAGTAATCCCCAAACTTACAAGGCCTATTGCGATTTTATGCATGAGTATTTGTCCCTGGGACACATGAAAATCGCAACTGTCCTACCCGCTCAAGGTCGTCCCGAAAAAATGTATTATATTCCTCATCACAGCGTAATAAATCCTAATTCTTCTACCACCAAGCTTCGTGTGGTCTTTGACGCATCCGCAAAAAATACAGAAGGCGAGTCCCTAAACGCAACGCTTTTACCCGGTCCTAAGCTCCAGAAGGACATCACTGCTATTCTTTTAAATTTTCGACGCTACTCGGTTGTCTTCACTGCTGACATCAAGATGATGTACCGCCAAATTTGGGTTGATTCATGTCATTGGGATTATCAACGCATTATTTGGCGATTTAGCCCTTCAGATCCCATTCAGGATTTTGTTCTGAAGACGGTAACTTATGGAGTATCTAGTGCGCCATTTCTTGCATTACGATGTCTTCTTGAGTTGGCGCAAAATTATTCCGAGGATTTTCCTAGGGCATCAAAAGTTCTTCTTAATCAAACTTTCGTGGATGATGTCGTTGATGGAGCGAATTCATTAAGTGAAGCCATCCTTATCAAGAACGAACTAATCCAGCTCTTAAAGTTGGGAGGCTTCGATTTGAGAAAATGGTCTAGTAACGACTTGGAATTTTTATCAACTATACCTTCTGATATTCACCAAACATTGACATCTATTTCAATGGATGACACGGATTCCTATTTCAAGGTTTTAGGACTTCGTTGGTATCCCCACCTCGATAAATTTTCTTACGAAATAAAAGTTTTAAAATCAGAATGCTCTAAACGGTCCATACTTTCGGAAATTGCTCGCATTTTTGACCCTCTAGGTTTCCTTGCCCCTGTTACATTCGCCCTTAAATTATTGATGCAAAATCTCTGGGTCCAAGGACTCACCTGGGATGATGTGGCTCCCTCTGATATCGCGAAAACATGGAAAAAATATAAGGCCGATCTTCCCCGTTTGTCAAATTTACGCATCCCTAGACATTGTTTTCTTTCCTCATGTGTCTCGATTGAGCTCCACGGTTTTGGAGATGCCTCCAGCCTAGGATATTCAGCGTGTATCTATTCACGTTTGGTTTGCTCTAACCAAAAAATTTCTACTTTCCTTGTTTATGCAAAAAGCAAAGTTGCTTCGTTAAAACGTATTTCACTTCCTAGACTCGAACTTTGTGCGTCTTTGTTGGCCGCAAAATTACTTAAATTTGTCTTGGCCACTTACTCAGACGTTAACTTTACGCGGATTTACGCTTGGTCGGATTCTATGGTCGCACTCGCTTGGATTCGCTCGCCGGCATTTCGATGGAAAACTTTCGTAGCCAATCGAGTCAGCCAAATCCAGGATATCGTGCCTCCTGAAAACTGGAACCACGTTGCCTCGGAATTTAACCCCGCCGACTGCGCTACTCGGGGCATG